ACACAACCACCACCAACAACAACCCTGGTCAAAAAACCAAACTTTGCCATCAAGTCAGTTCCGATTCAGTGTAACTCTATTAGACAGGGTTGAACTGACCTAGAGGGTTTCTGAAACTGTAACTCTTTACAGAAGCAGACTGCCACATCTTTCTCCTGTAAAACTCTGGTTCTAGGTTAAATCATTAAATCACAGATGGAAGTTAAGGCAGTCTAGGATCAATGAGACCCCCAGCCTTAGTCATACCAGGGACTACAGGGCAAAGCTAAGGGAAGGGAAGCAGGTCACAGGAACACAAGGGGTCATGCAGGAGGCTAATCCTCGGCTGCAACAGAGAAGTAGGGGTGATGCTGTGAAAGACTACCCTAGTTGCTGTGTGGCCTTGAACAAATAGGTATCTTCTCTGTGCTATGGTGGCCTGGTGAGTCAAAGGAAGGGCTGCCCTGCTCTCTGGGTCCTTCCTACTTCTAACAACCTATGGCTCAGGCAGCCTTTGGACCTCCTTGCAGATGAATGAATTATTTGCTAGACTTCCCATTTTACTGAAGAAGAGACTGAGGGTCTGTGAGGTGGTGAGATTTGAGACCATGCAGTGAAGAGCAGAGCAGGGATTTGAGATCAGGGAAGATCACTCACTAGGTCCATGGCCTTTGGTCATTTAGTGCAGGACTCACAAATTCAAATGACCAGGGAGCGAGGCTAGGGCATGAGTTAGTGGCCTAGGCCAAGTATAGGTTGGGGGATACAAAAGGCTTGCCCAGGGAAGCCCTTCTTAAGTAAGTTCAAATCACCCTGCTTATTTCCTTCCTAGTGTGGCACTGTAGGATAAGCATTGGACTGCGAACTGCAAGGTTGGCAGTTCAAACGCCCCAACTGCTCCTCAGAAACCCTATACAGGGTTGCTATGAGTCAGAACTGACTCTGGCACTTAACAACAACAACATAGCTGCTATGGAATGAATTCTGTCTCCCCAAAACATATGTTAAAGTCCTAATCCCTGTCCCTGGGAATATGACCTTATTTAGAAAAGGAGTCTTTGAAGATGCTATTGCTAGGTTAACATAAGGTCATATTAGAGTAGGTTGGGGCCTGTTATTGTTGTTTTGTGCCATCAAGTCAGTACCACTCATAGCGACACTGTGTACAACAGAATGAAACACTGCCTGCTCCTGGGCCAACCTCACCATCGTTACTACTCCTGAGCCCATTGATGCTGCCACTGTGCCAATCCGTGCCATAAAGTCAGAAATGCTGATTTATTATTTTTTTAACAACCTTTTATGTGTTTATTGGTACATTTTTACTTAATAGCCTTTAGGATGAAAATGTGTATGGATTATGTAAAGAAGTAGATGAATATTTTCACCAACACAAGATCCCTGAGATCTTTTGCATTACAAAGCTCCTTATGTAATTTGAACTTAACTGGATGTAATTAGAGCCCAGAACAAAAGAGCACTGAGAGAAAATTCCATCTCTATACTCTTAATAGGGAAGAGATTACTTTAAAAAGCAAATGCACAGTTGGCAAAGCAAGAAGTGCTGAAATTTTCAATGGGAAATCTCCAAAGTTCTAAATTTTGTTCTTGTTATTATTAAATGTCGTGGAGTCAGTTCTGACTCATAGTGACCCTATATAGGTTTCCAAGGAGCAGCTAATGAATTTGAACCACTGACTAAGCAGTTCAAACTGACCTTGTGATCTAGTGCATTATCCCACAGCTCCACACCAGGACGCCTATTAAAACTCAAAACAGTAACAACAAAAACACTACATGAATCACACACATACCTTGTGAACTTGGCTTGGCCAGCAGGTGGCTGGTTTGTGACCCCTCTCAATAACCTCCCTTTCCTTCCCTCAGTGGTTACACAATATTTCAGAAACAGAAACCAAAGTCCTCTCTGTGTGTAATTAATCAATTCAGCAAGTGAGTGATACGGGGCTTTGCCTAATTTTACCTTTCCCCTTTCTTCCTGTTAACTGTGTGCCAAAGGGCTCTCGAAGTGTTCTGTGGAATGTTTCTGTCTGCTAGTCCCACTGTTAGGGGATGATAACTCGGAGAAAAGTCAGGAGCTGGGAGACAGTGAGCTAGACCTCCTGATTCCTCTGGAAATCATTTGGCCACTCTGGTAGCATAGTGCTTACGAGTCAGGCTGCTAACTTCAAGGTCAGCAGTTCGAAACTACCAGCTCTTCCGTGGGAGACAAACGAGGCTTTCTGCTCCCGTAAAGATTTGCAGCCTTGGAAACCCTGTGCAGGGTCACTGTGAGTCGGAACCGACTCCACGACACATAACCACAACCACCATTTCTGTAAAATTGTTTGAGTGGAGCAGCAATGTTGCAGGGTGTGCCTGTGGTGAAGGGGAAGTAGCTGTTTTGGTCTGTTGATATCACTTCCCCCCCTTTAGAAAACAGCACCCCCTTCCCCTTCCTCTGGGGAGCAGCCTCTCTCCTACCTCCTGTGATGGGACTCCTTCCCTGTGAGGGTTAGTGTTTTGTGTCAACTTGGCTGGTTCAGCAGTTAAAAATGTAGTAATCACTTCATGAGGAGAGATGCAACCGACAGGATTAGGCTGTATCTCAAGTTAATCTCGTTTGAGATACAAAAGAGATTAAACAGGCAATCACAGTTCAGAGGGACCTACTGGTACCCAGAAAGAAGAGCCAGGAGTGAAGTGTATCTTTTGAACCTGGGGTCCCTGCATTGTGAAGTTCCTAGATCCAGGGGAAGATTGATCCAAGAACATCTCCAAGGAAGGTCAGGCCTACAGGTGCTGAAAGGAGACAAGGACCTTTCCCCAGAGCTGACAAAGAGAAAGCCTTCCCCTAGACCTGGTGCTCTGAACACAGACTTTTATCCTAAACTGTGAGAGAACACATTTCTGTTTGTTAAAGGCATCCACTTGTGGTATTTCTAGTATAGCAGCATTATTAGATCACTAACCACAGGACTGGCTCCTGCTATGCACAGAATCGGGCTGCAAACCGCAAGGTCAGCAGTTTGAAACTACCAGCTGCTCCGTGGGAGAAAGATGAGGCTTTCTGTTCTCGTAAAGATTGACAGCCTCGGTAACCCTGTTCAGGGTCGCTATGAGTCGGAACCGACTCGACAGCACATAACACGCACAGACTCAAGTCAGACCAATCACAAACCTTCCTTGGGATTTTCTATATAGATGCTAGGAAAGGCGTTCTACCTTCTCAGTAATATAAGCCACTACCCAGACTCTCTCTCTTTCTCTTTCTTCATCTAATTTTTGGGATTTAGTCATCCTAGTATGTGCAGGGCAACCTTGTGACACTCCCTGAAGAGTTAAGTGAGGCTTGTTCTGTCTCCTGAAACACTGACGTTAAATGGTCTCAAGTCATTCTCTATGCGGTGGTAGGCAACATTCAACCAGATTTGTTTAGTTGATACTGAAGGCTCATTTCTCTAGACTGGTGGTTCTGAAACTGGGTTCCTCACACTCTGAAGCATCACATGAGTTTCCAGAGACGATACGAAGGGCAACACGTAAAAGATTCTGTTCTTCCTATTAGGTTTTGGTGAGTAGTGTCTAGGGCCTTAAAAGCTGATGAGCAGCAATCCAAGATATAAAATTTGGTCTCCATCTGCCTGGGACAACAGGGGGAGAAGGAGCCCATGGGACACCCAGAGTGATGTGGCATCAACGAAAGGAAATGGACTTCAAGATTAGCTGACTCCATACTATGAGACCAGGAGAAATGAGTGGTGCCCAGCTTCCATTACTGAATATTTTGATGAAGGGCCCAATAGATGGATCTTGATAAAAAAGCGGAAACACATAGAAGAGGAGTTCAAACTCCCATGGAAACCAGAATTACTAGGCCCATTAAGACTGGTAGAATCCCTCAATCTAATGCCTAGAAATGACCTTTATATCCTAAACCCAAACTATCCCATGAACACATTGTTAGACTAAACTATAATTTAACCAAATTAATAGTGTCTCGAGCATGGTGCTTATATAACAAATTAGCTATATGAGTGTCAGCTGACAATTGACAGTTACCCCAAAGCACAGATTAGAACTTTAAGGGACAGAGAGACTAAATTCATGGGGATGAAACAATATGGGTGATGACCGTGAAAAGTTTGACACAATGTGAAGTAGGTCCCGAACGTCACTGTAGAAATTGCAGATGGGTAGAGGTTTGGTTGTGTATATTGCCAACAAAAATAAATATTATTTAAAACAAGGAAAATGATATAATCAACAAAAAACAATGGGAAAAAAAGGCTAAAGACAAACCAAAAAAAAAAAAAAGTGAGGCAGGGTAGATAGCTCTGGAAGGAGTTAGACCCAGTTCTGGAGGATAAACTAATATGCGTGAGTTCTGACCATCTCCCAAGATTTCAATAAATCCTTTTCTATGAAGTGTCTTGTCTCCATACCCTACAGGCTCTGAGCTAGGAGCTAATGACATCTTCATGAATCAGGTGAGAAAACTGAGGTCTAGGAAGTTAATTACTAAGGTTTCATAATACATGGGGCACTGGTGTGTAGTGGGTTACGCACTGGGCTGCTAATCACAAGGTCAGCAGTTCAAATCCACCAGCTGCTTAGCGGGAGGAAAATGAGGCTTTCTGCTTCTATAAAGATTTACGCCCTCAGAAACCCTTTACAGGGTCATTGTGAGTCAAAACTGACTCAACAGCACACAACAACAATAAATGAGTACGTGCCTGAGTGTCACAGGCAGCTGTACAATTCTTCATCCCACCAGACTTAAAATACTTTGTCTCCTGCCTGCCTCCCCACCATGACTACTTCCTTCTGAGACCTCAAAGACTTCACCATTTGTCAGGCTCCTTCTGGAATCTGCAAAACACTCCAGGAAAAACTGTATCTTGGGCCTAATCAAGGAATGCTTGTGGGATCAACGGGAGTAGGGTCACAGGGGGTGTCGCATTTGGGGCCAAATGATGAGTGCCAACATCCAGCTGAACTCTTTACTTCTATGCGCTCACCTTGCCCGGTTTCTCATCCATTCCCTTTCCAGCTGAGAAACAAGTTCTTCTGAGGAGTTTTCTTTCCCAAGCGACCAGAAGTCTTTTGGTCTCAGCGGCCTCCTGTAGCCCCTGCAGACCAGCCTGTAAAAGAGGGTGAACAGGAGTGGCCCCATCTGTCGTCCCCCTGGTGGATGGCTGTGTGGCCCTAAGCTTGTCACTTTCCTCTTTGCACCTCTGCTGGCTCCTCTATAAAATGAAAACTGATTTTTGTAAGACACTTCTCAGTTGACAAAGGAGCTCTGGTGGCACAGTGGTTAACCTCTTGGGACAGTGGTTCAAACCTACCAGCTGCTCTGTGGGAGAAAGATGAGGCAGCCTGCTGCTTTAAACATTTGCAGACTCAGAAAACTGTCATGTCATTGTTGTGGTTAGGTGCCATCAAGTTGGTACTGACTCATAGCGACCTTATGCACAGCAGACTGAAACATTGCCCGATCCTGGGCCAACCTCATAATTGTTGCTACTCTTGAGCCCATTGATGCTGCCACTTTGCCAGTCCATCTTGTTGGGGGTCTTCCTCTTTTTCTCTGACCCTCCACCTTACCAAACATGATATCCTTCTCCAGCGATTGGTCCCTCCTGACAATATGTCCAAAGTATGAGAGATGAAGTTTGGCCATCCTGGCCTCTAAGGAGCACTCTGGCTACACTTCTTACAACACAGATCTGTTGGTTCTTTTGGCAGCCCATTGCATTTTCAATATTCTCCTCCAACATCATAACTCAAAAGCATCAATTCTTCTACAGTCTTCCTTATTCACTGTCTGGCTTTTGCATGCATCTGAGGTTACTGAAAACACCATGGTTTGGGTCAGGCGCACCTTACTTAGTCCTCAAGCTGACATCTTTGCTCTTCAACACTTTAAAAAGGTCTTGTACAGCAGCTTTACCTAATGCAATACGTCGTTTGATTTCTTGACTGTGGCACAGCTTCCAGAATCACAGCAACTCACAAGTACTTTGTCACAAGTACGGCAAACTGACAGATGAGTGGTGAGAAACCAGTCGTATGGGGTCATTATGATTTGGAATCGACTCGGGGGCAGTGATTTTGATTTTGGCTTTGTCCTCAGTTTACCAAGATCATCTTATTTAATTCTCAGATGAGTCTGCCTTATTCTTGACCATTTTACAGATAAGAAAAAAAAAAACAGACTCAGAGGTTAAGTGAGGCTGGCTGGCTGAAGCTTGGCTGGTCTGTCAGCTTTGGGGGACCCTCAGAGTTAGGGTGGGATAGCTGTGATGAGGAAGGGAAGAAGCAAGAGCAAGTGGGTGGGAACACCATCCCAGCCCCTGCCCTGCCGCTTTACTTACCCAGAAATCCACCAGAACAGGACCTTGGAGGGGAAAGAGGCCCCCGCCTCTGGACAAGGATTCTGGAAAAGATCAAAGACAGGGAGCGGGAGGCCTGGATCGCACATTCCCAGATGAGTGTGTGGTGAGGAAAACCAATGGCAGGAAAACAGGATGAACTGGCCATGAGTTTAATCATTGAAAATACACATGGTGGTGACCTGAAATGGGTACACTGGGCCCAACGTTTCCTGGCAAACAGGACATAAAGAGATTGGGCCCCAGGCTGATAGTACCCAGGACTAACAAGTACTGAGAAACACTGTCCTTATTATAGAGATCAAAATGTTCTCCAAAGAAGGACCCCATGTCATCAGCCATACTCCACAGTGATTATGGTAAGGAGGGACCAGGAAGGTACCCTGTGATTTCATCAGCTATTCTATCTAGAAAGACTGCCCGTTCACTTCCTCCAAGAGGACCCTTTTCACCATGTCTCCACCATCAGAGCCTGCTACCAATGCTTAACATTACCTACCATTCCAACTGGCAAAAAAAAAAATTAAAATGTCCTGATACTGAATTTTACAACATGAACATCTTTTTCTGTGATCTCAGCTCAATGGTGTCTTCCTCAAAAAGTCTTTCCTAACTTATCAGACTAGCTGAGGGTTGCCTGTTGATACTCTTGAGGACCATGAACTCAGCAGCTAGCTGGGCCATGGAACGGAGGTCCTTAAACTATGGCTCAAGGGCCAAACCTGGCCCACGGCCTGTTTCTGCAAATAAAGTTTTACTGGCACACAGCCACACTCGTTTGTTTACCTATTACCCACGGCTGCTTTTGTGCAGAGTTGAGCTATTGTGGTAGAGATCATTTGGCCAGCAAAGTTTAAAATATTTACTATCTAGTCCAGTATGGAAAAAGTTAGGTGACCCCTGAAATAAAGTGCATATTCAATACCTAATATTCAATTGCAGAATGACTAAATGAGTTAAAACCAATGTGTGGTGCCATGAATTAGCTTTTCTACCCAATGTCTTCTTAATTCACACCAAGTGATTGGGTGGGATCATGCAAATGAGGTGTACAGGACTCTCAGGCTGGGATTGGTTAGTTTTGCTATCGGTTAGGTTTAAAAGGAGCCATCTCAGAAGCAAGAATGGACAATTCCAGGACCATAAAGAAGGGAGAACATGAGTGGAGCTTGAGATTCCTTAGAAAAGTGGCCCACAGCATAGGTGACAGCAAAGGTGGGCGCATGGAGAAACAGAGCAGCTGAGGACTCTAGGCCCATGGACTGAGTAAAGCTGAATGCCTGTGGGCAGACAACTGGCTTGCAGGATATGCCCTCTGGGGATTCTCAGTTTGGCTAAAAGAACTTTGTAAAACTTGCCAAAACAGGGAAGCAGCCAAGTGACCACATGGCTGAGAGGCCGAAGACAAGAGTAAGATGTATGGCAGTATGGCAGACAAGAGACATTCCTGATTGAAAAACTTCTGCGTCTGAAGTTTTTCTGATCCTGAATTGTACCCTGTTCTCGTTCCTTATAAGCGCTATAATCATGAATTTTGTTGGGAGTTCTGCGTGGCCATTCCAATGACTTGTTGAACCCAGATGTGAAGCAGGGTGTGCTGTGGAAGGGATGGTTGGTGTCAGAATAGGGTCAAGGTTTGTTGAATGGAGGCATGCTCACTTCATTGGAATTGACCTTGGACTGAATCAAATTGACCTTGGACTCAATAGTTTGATTCTCTTTCACTCTTGTCAAGCCAAAGGAAGTCGGACATGGCCCCCACAATGTGATAGTTTAAATCTCTTAGGTCACCTGGAGAGACAAGAGACCTGTGGAGCAGGAACAAGGGCGGCATGTGTTGGAGATCTGGTAACTTACAGACTGCTGGGGTTCTTTAGGAAAGAAGGGGGGTTGATCCGCAAAGCAGGACAGCAAAAACTGCGTTACAACTAGAGTCAGACACAGGTAGGTGGACAGGTGGAGAAAAGGATCGCTCTGGAAGCCCTGTGGGTGAGAAAGGAGAAGTTCCACTGAGGCTAGGCAGGCAGAAGTCAGCCTGCTGGGCCTCGTAAGAATCAGATGTTAGAGGGGGTGCCCTTGAGGGGAAGATAGTTGAGGCTGAATAGGGTTTCTGCAGGTGGAAACACTACCACAGTAAGGTCACAGGTTTTGAAAACCAGTCTCCCAGCATTCTTGGATATCCAGAGTCATAAGCACCTGACTTACATACATTCTGTCCATATAACTGTTGAGCCAGAGCCATGCCTGGGATTTGCCAACAACCACTTGGATGTGAGTTGAAGGGACACATTGCCTTTCCCCTTGTGCCACCTTATTACATTCCAGTTCCCACCCCAGTCTCCCATCTGCCTGGCCAGTGTGTTCTGGTTTATGGACAAGGGAGCTGGTCTGACTGAACAAAGACTTGGCCTTCAGCACATCCGAGAGCATTTACGTACACTTTCCCATCAAGTCCCTCCTCAGCTCCTGGCCCCAGCTAACAGGGAAACAAAGGCTCAGAGAAGCGGTGGCACCATGCTCAAGGGTACACAGATTCTGTGACCCAAATTGTGAGCTTTGGATGCCACTCCGTGGTTGCTTCACGACCCCTTTATCTGGCTCTACCGTCTAGGGTTCTTTCCCCATGGTTTGGTATGTGGTTCCACTCTAAGGGGCAGCCAATGAGCCACACTTGGCCCATGAGTATATTTTAGGTGCCTGGCAAGCATGATTGGTTTAGGAATGGGTACAGGGCATCAGCTTGGCCAGTAAGAGCTGAGATCATCCAGAAATCCTTCTATTAGATTTACTATATGTTGTTGTTGTTAAGTGTTGGCAAGTTGGTTTTGACTCACAGCGACCTTATACAGAAGGGATAGAGAACGTCCAGCTTGCAGGCTGTATGGTGGTGGTGGTGGTTATGTGCTGTGGAGTCGGTTTTGACCCATAACGACCCTGTATGGGGTTTCTGAGGCTGTAAATCTTTATGGGAGCAGAAAGCCTCATCTTTCTTCCACAGAACAGCTGGTAGTTTTGAACTGCTAACTTTGAGGTTAGCAGCCTGACTTGTAACCATGACGCTACCAGAGCTCGTTTGCAGACTGTATAAGGCCCATGAAATCATTTAGTCTGGTCCTGCCAAGGGAACTACAGTTCTAGTCATCACATTTGTTGTTGTTGTTGTTGTTATGTGACATTGAGTCGGTTCTGATCCACAGCGACCCTGTATATGGTTTCCGAGGAGCAGCTGGTGAGCTTGAACCGCCAATCTTGAGGTTCAAACTGACTTTGCAGTCCAGCACAGTATTTACTCACAACACCACACCAGGACTCCACATCAGGGATGAGCTAATTAAATATTTGACAAAATATAGCAGGCTAATTTTTAAGTTGATAATTTTGTATGGCCTGAGAATGATGTTATGAATTTTGACAGAAAAAAGGTTCCCCACCCTGCTGTATAGGGTCACTGTGAGTCGGAACTGACATAGTGACAGTGGTTTGGGTGGGTGTCTGGGTAGAGAGTAAGTTGTGTATGGAAAGAAAAGAAAGACAGATGTAACCCAAGATCTGAAACTACCATACTGGTTTCCCGAGGTGGCCCAGACCCCTACTTACCCCTCCAGAGGCCTGCTGGGCAATGCTGGTGGCCGGCAAGATGCAGCAGAGCAGCCAGTACCCGAAAAGCACCCCAGAAGCCTGGACCCCCTTCTTCCTCTCCACGTGGATAATGAACAGGGCTAGCGTCTGGATGAGAGAGTGAGGAAGGGCCCCTTGAAGCAGGGGGTGAGAAGGGTGCTTTGCTCCATGGTGCCTCACCCTCCACCAGGGCTAGAAAAGCAGCTCTAGGAAAGTGGGGGGCTCCTAGCTTGGGTGGGGGAGGCCTTACCATCGTGATGAGCCAGACAGTGGGGTGAATTAAGAATTCCGGGGCCTCAGGCATTCTCCGCTGAATTTTCCAAAGTGAGACAGCCACCCTAGAGGTACTCAGGACTAGCAGGGTGGCCCCGATTACCTGGGGAGACAGGCTCTGATAAGGCTACTGGGTAAAACAAAGACTGCAGCATCCGGGTAGTAGCTTGGGTCCAACTGGGCAGTGGTTCTGCCTCAGCTGAGATGGGGGTGCACTAATGAACTGGTGTCATCATTTCACAGTGACAAGTGATTCAGAAAATCCATAAAGATGGCTGCAGACCAGTTTCAACATAACCAGGACCTGAGTGAACTCAATGTTTCAACAGATCGAGACGGAATTTACTCACAGGGTGAAAGGTGATACCCCTTTGCAAGTCTCTTTCAATGCCTACTATTAAAGCAAGAAGAAAAGTCTCCATTGCTGTGAGTAGAAATTGACTTGATATTACGTCATAGGTTTGGTAGCAGATTTTAAAGAGCTCTGGTAGTACAGTGGGTAAGTATTCGGCTGCTAACTAAAAGGTGGGTGTTGTTGTGGGCCATTGAGTCAGTTCAGTTCTGACTTGTAGAAATCCTATGTAGAGTTTCTGAGAGCGGCGGATTTGAACAGATGACCTTGAGGTTACCAGTTCAGTGATAATCCTACAATGTCACACCAGGGCACAACTCAAAGGTGGGTGGTTCAAATCTAACAGCCACTCCAAAGAAGAAAGGCAGTCAGCTTCTGTAAAAATTAGTCTTGAATACACTGAGACAGTTCTACTCTGTCCTACAATTAGGGCAGAGTGGGTCAGATCAGATTCAATGGGGACTCCTTTTAACCCTTTAAGGAAAAGTCTGCAGGAGAAGGAGATGGATGAGGAGAAGGGACAGGCTTATAATCCCAGAGTATGCATAACAAACTAAAATAAACATGTGTTGTTATGTCCTGTGGTGTCAATTCTGACTCATATAGACCCCAGGTGACTGAGTAGAACTCCTCCAAGGGACTTCCTACTTTGTAGACTTGATAGGAGCCGATGGCCAGGCCATTCCACCTTGGAGCTACTGGGTGGATTTGAACCACTGACCTTTTTGTTAGCAGCTGAGTCCTTAACAATTGCGCCACCCAGACTTCTTTAAGATAAACATATAACCATTTTAGTGCTTGTTCTTCAGGATTGCCAGAGGGGAAACATAAAAATAAATCTGTAACTGTTAACATATTTTAAGAGTTCAGCCCTACCACCATCCTGAGGGTGCACATTCCACACTTGGTGGTGGCAGTTGTAAGCTGTCTAGGACCCTGCGCGTGCTTTGGGGTATCAATGAATTTTCATAATTACAAAATCAGTTTGGGGGGGATCTTGTACTATTCTTTTCTCTGTGGTCACTGGGATGTTGGCTAACAGATTCCCTTCTTGTCCCCACCCTGTCTGCTCCACATTGGGGTTTCTGCCTGGCCCCTGCTCCTCCCCATTGACTGGTCCTGGGGTCCATCTGGTGACATCTACCATTTTAGCCTTGAAGAGAGCGGACATCCGGAGATAGCCCCTGCCACGCCGGTAGATGTAGAGGAGGTAGACAGGGCCAAGGATCCAAAGGTACATGGGGGGCACCCACACCCCAGCTGTTCTTAGGAAGCACAGGTTCAGCAGGTGGGCAGCGGCGGGCTCCGTGTGGTTCCAGACCTGAGGGAAAGGCAGGAAACTTTCGATAACAGGAGGTACATACTCAATTGCCAAGGGGTCCAGGCAACTTTTGGACACTGAACACATAAATGAAAATATGCCAAGTTAGATGCAGTTTTTATCCTAATTTTTAATCCTAATTCTGCAGATGAGCAATTTGAGTAACTTGCCCAGCGTCACTTAGCTGGAAGGTAGTGGTACTGGGATTTGAACCCACCTGATTGGGTCTTGAGAAGGAAATCCTTATTATCAACTCTAGGAGGCAGGAGTTACTGTCTCCCTATAACAGACAAGGAGACTGAGGCACAGAAACGGGTCTACACAAATAGCAAGTGTCAGAGTCCTCTGACCCCAAAGTTTGCTCTCTGGAGTCTTGATCTGTGATATTTACCCCACCCACTCTGCTGGCCTTCTCGGTCCTAGAATAAATTTGATTATGAAGTTTAGAGGACATGACCCTGTAGTTCCCTCCCTGCTACTTTATGTCACCCCTCCACTAACTTCTCTGGTTTGCCACTCCACTCGCCAGCTGTGTGACCGTCAACCTCTCTGTGCCTCAGTTTCCTTCTCTGCAAAAAGGGAGCTACCAAACACTCACTGACAAGTGGATTCTGATTTAAAGGGTCACTGAAGGATTAAGCAGAACTGCTCTGGTTTACTCCAGGTTGTAAACCCTTATGTTAGCAGGCTGTCTTATCTTTCTCCATGGAGCAGCCGGTGGGTTTGAACCACCAATCTCTGGGTTAGCAACACAATGCTTAACCCATGGCACCACCAAGGCTCCTTAAAGGGAGATTGTTGGTGTTGTGTTAAATGCTGTCGAGTAGGTTCCAACTCATAGCGACTCATTTCCCAGGTACGGCTGGTGGATTTGAACTGCTGACCTTGTGGTTTGCAGTCTGGTGCTGATCTTACAGGGTTGTATTAAGTGGGCTAAAGGATTCCTGGAAAGAGCTCTCACAGTGTACTGGTTATGAAATGAGCTGCTAATCTCAAGGTCAGCAGTTCAAAACTACCAGCTGTTCCACAAGAGAAAGATGAAGCTTTTTGCTCCCATAAAGATTTGCAGCCTTGGAAACCCTGTGCAGGGTCACTATAAATCAGAACCGACTCCACGGCACATAACCACCATCACCACCACCACCACCACCACCAATGGAGTCCTGGAGTCTGGGTGTGGCGCTGTGAGTTAACTTGGTGGATTGCAAAGTTGGTTTGAACCACAAGGTTGGTGGTTCAAGTTCACCAGCTGCTCCTTGGAAACTCTGTACAGGGTCGCTATGGGTTGGAACTGACTCGATGGCACTCGACAACAACAAAGAAGTCCTGATGTGTTGCTGTAGGATGAGCACTGGATCCCTAACCTAAAGGTCCTTGTTCAAAGCCATTACCAACAACACCACCAGGAAAGCCCTGAGCACAGGCTGGACGGGAGGAGTCCTCAATTAAGAGTGTAACAATGCTTGACTGCGAACTGTAAGGCTGGTTGGAACCCACCCAGAGATACACTGCAAGACAGGCTTGGAGCTCTTCAGAAATGCCACAACTTTGAACACACTATGGAGTGCTGTTCTACTGACACATTGGGTCACATGAATCTCAGTGGACTGAACAGCAATAGATTTAGTTTGGAGTTTATTATTAGTTGCTTACTCACAGGGCCTGAATCCTGTGAAGTAGATTCTCTTATTTTACTCCCCCACTTGCCCCCACTAGCCTTTTCCTTATCTGGGATGAGAGAGGAAGCAGGAGAGGTAGGGGGTCTGTGGGACTGGAAAGGTCCTTGGGGTTAGTGGATGGGGGCTGGGAGGAAGGCACTAGCTTTATGTAAATAAGTGGTCACTGTCCTTAGAAACTCTTTTAGAGGGGCTTGGTCAAAGAGGCTGTCCTCCTCTGTAGTTTTGTGGGCGGTGGGGCAGAAAGGCCTGGGGGGCTAGGGTCTGTCCCCTCTTCAGTTTTGGTTGGGGAAAGAAGAGTGGGCAGGATGGGGGCACTCACCCCCCGCCCCGCGCAGGGCTCGCCTGGCGTGGCCATCAGTCCGTACGTCTGCCAGTCGGTTAATCTGTCTGCTCCTGGACAGCCTCCTGGGCTGCGCTCACGGCCCGGGAAGGGGCGGGGCGGAGCAGGCCTGGCCGGGATTCGAGCTCCAGGATCGGGAGGGCCCCCGGGCAAGGTCCGTCTGCGTAGTGGGGGTGGGGCGAGAAAGGTGTGCAACCCGGCGAGGTGGAGGGGGCACTCCGGGAGGCCCAAGCATTCGCCCCGGGCTAGGTGGGAGGAAATTTGGGACCCTGTAAAGTGCAGGAGCACTCCAGTTTTTCCTCCCCCACAGCAAGTATTATCCTTACAAAAAGTAACTTGATAAATGAACCTAACAGTCCTATACACGTTCATAATATGCAATAACAAAGTGCCCAACAACAGGAACCACCTGGGTACCGGGCAAGGCTGCAGACTCCGGTTAGAAGGACAGTCTCCTCATATGCATGGGAAGGACACTGTCTGTAAATAATTTAAATAATTAATAGGCATTTAGCTTTGTGTCAGGTACTGAGTAAGTAATCAATGTTGGTGAGTGTCGTCAGAGTAGGTTCCGACTCATAGTGACCCTGTATAGGGTTTCCACAGAGCCGCTAGGAAATCCTCTAGGGCAGTTCTTTGTCTTAGGGTCACTATGAGTAAGAATTGAGTAGACAGCCAATGTTTGGTGTGGTGCTGAAGAATAAGCATTGGACTAGTGGTTACGAATTGGGCTGCGAACCTTAGGGTCAGCGGTTGGAAACTACCAGCCGCTCCGCGGGAGAAAGATGAGGCTTTCT